AAATTACGGGTCATCTTCAAAAAGCAATGGAGAGATGGAGTTTTCTTGAACACAGACCTTTCTGGAGAGCATCTCCAAGATTATTTTTCCAGGAAGATGGCAAACAAGAACATCTAATGCGCTGGCTGTAGTTGTCATGATACCCACAGTATCCCCGGCTCCTTCTGCTCATTTTTCATGCCACAGAAGATGACCACAACATCTGCCCGTCACAAGGAGCGACAATAGCGTTGAAGAGCTCTTCATTTCTGCATAGGGGTTTATCTCAGAGAGGATTCCCAAAGCCACCAAGCAGATGGGGTGGCAGCTCTTGGTCTGGAAGCTGGGCTTCCCCTGGCAGGAATTTGTTTTCAAAAGATTCACATCATGAGGCTCAGTGGTTTTATTTGGTCTTAACAGGAGAGATCCTGGCTCTCCTGTCTTTTATGCCCACTCTAGCGAAATAACCTCCTGCTTCACAGGAGTTACTGGGATGGATGGATGGATGGATGGATGGATGGATGGATGGATGGATGGATGAGAGAGGAGGGTCTGGACTGTTGCATTTGTGGAGCAATTAGGAAGGACAGCTGGGATGTCCATGGAGAGACTCCAGTGAGCGTTGCAGAGCTGCCCCATGTTACTCAACGAGGCCACGGCCGAGCGTTGGCAGACCTGGAAGTCTGGCCCGTTCCCTGCAAAGTACGCTATCCGGATTCCCAAGAGGAAAGGGCCAAAGCAACAACCAGCACACCGTGGCCGTGGAAGGCGTTTCCACATGAGTTGTTATTGCAGCTGGAGAAACTTTCCTCCATGTTTGGCGCTTTGCACATTTTCCTGGTGTTCCCTACCCAGGAAAAACCTGATAACTCCTGAATAAATCCAGAGGCTTTGAGACAGTTGATACGGAGGACACCTTCTCTGCTGGGGCCAGCCCACAAACCCATGCAGGAGCTGGTAGGAGGACAAGTTCATCTGTGGAACAAAGCTGGGAGGGGGCCCCTGCTGCCACCGTGGTGCCCCACCGCGTCCCGACTTGTGCACGCACGTGTGTCTTGCGCTTCAGTGTCGGCGCCGGTGTGTGCAGAGGGGCTTTTGGGGATCCCACCCTGAGGAGCTCTTGCTCAAAAAGTTCTTTGCCAAGACAAAGCAGATCCAGGGCAGGGTGCTCTGGGGTGGGATGAGGAGAGAGTCCAAGGGTGGAGGCTTGGCTGTTTGGAGGAGAGGTCTGCTGAACTCTCATACGCAGGGGAATGAAAGGGAGCGAATGACATTTACTTCATCTGTTTCTTGTCTAGTTTTCCCAGGTGGACACCCGAGACCCAAGGCTGGCTGAGCCTTCGGGCTGGCCCGGCACAGCTGTTCTGCCGCTTCAGCCATCCTTTCAGCGGTCGCAAATGAAAAAATGTGTGTAAAATGAGATCAGAAATGGCCTCGTGCACTGGAAAAGGTGTTTCTCGTGCTTCCCGCTGAGCTCGCTAGCCCTGTGCTGACCTTGGGGTCTGCCTTCCTTCGGGTCGTCAGCTTCACGGAGGTGTGGAAAAACGGCTGCTGAGCCCCTCAAAGAGGAGAGTCCCACCTGACTTCCAGCTGACTCCAGTGATGGAGTGTCCAGAGAAGGGCAACGGAGCTGTGAGGCGTCTGGAGCACACGTCTGGTGAGGAGCGGCTGAGGGCCCTGGGGGTGTCCAGCCTGGAGAAGAGGAGGCTGAGGGGAGACCTTCTCGCTCTCGACAGCTCCCTGACAGGAGGGGGGAGCGAGGGGGGATCGGTCTCTGCTCCCAAGGAACAGGTGATGGGACAAGAGGGAACAGCCTCAAGTTGCACCAGGGGAGGTTTAGGGTGGATATTGGGGAAAATTTCTTCCCTGAAAGGGTTGCCAAGCACTGGCACAGGCTGCCCGGGGACGTGGTGGAGTCCCCATCCCTGGAGGGGGTTAACAGAGGGGCAGCCGTGGGGCTGAG